GAAACAATGAATTAAAATTGTCATTATTTTTGTAATATATAACTAAATGTGAGATACTGAAAATTTGTCAAACCCGATTGGGTCAACCAAAACCCCTCCGAATTTCAATGAGTTAATGGCTGAACCGGACGGATTAGTTGGTCAATGCTTTACCGAGTTTTCAAATATTTGAAACCGGCCCGAAGGTCCAGAAACATGCAAAAGGAGGGGTAGTAGTAGTACCGAAGTACCATCGAGGCCGGCTGAGCCAGGTTTCTGTGCCTCAGCACAATACTTGGCCCTTTGAGCGGGCCCATCAGTTTATGGGTCCCAATGCTCTAGGAACGGGACACGTGGTAAATTATTTTGGTGGGCCTAGGCCATACTATTAGTCCTACATTACAATACTCCTATGGTCCTACAGTGCCTTGATCGTAATATTACTATTATTATATTTTTGTTTTTTATTGTTATGAAATGGAGAGAAGACTAGTGAGGAGAATAAAATCATCACCGTTGGCTCATTGAAGATCCATATTTGACTTTTTCTCTCTGTACTGTTTGCCTAAAGACGGAAGATTTTTCAAGTAAAGGCAGGGCGGAGTATTGGAACGCCAACGGGTGGGAGGTTCAGTCAGAGCTAGGCCCTAACAGCTTTTACAACCTTTCATCGGGAATATTTTCGTACTTCTGTGTTTTATTTCGTGGGAAGATATTCCCAATGCAAGACTATGATGACTGTTCGAATGGACTTTGCTCTGACTGAATTCGATTCCATTTATTTCAGCTCCGTCCGCGTCGGGACTCTCGTCATAGTACACGTGGTGTTAAGGGCGTTGAAAAGGAACCAAGGCGCATGATAACAATGATTGGTACGACCAAATGCCTCGCTTCCCCAAACAAACCCTTTGATGAGGATAAGAATATGAGATGCCCCCCAACCTCTCCTCCTCCTCCTCCTCCTCCGCACGAGTGGTTAGGTTTGCAAAACCAAACCACTTCAATACACGTGCCACTTCTTCGACCATCCATTTTGTAACGACGCAATCAAGCGTCGGTACAAATGAGTTGTGTATACAATTTTGTATCGAGTGGGAGTGGGAAAAGGTTTCGGCGTTTGGCTCACATGGGAAGGCCAATAATTTCAGTGAGCGTGGAGGGTATAAGACAAAAGCCCACACGCGTTTACGAAGACAAAAAGGAATTTAGAGGGACAAAATTCAGAGTACAGCGCAAGGACTCGAGGACTTTGGAGTAATAAATCAAACCGCCAATTATAAAAAGGACGCTCGAGCAGACCCGATGCACGGTCTACAGTCTCCTAACAGTACACACGTGTAATGCTGTGGCCGATCATTCAGTGGGTCCCACGTGCCAATGCCCACTTATCATTGCCCCTCCCCGGCTTCGCTTCCCTCTTGGCCTCTTCTTCTTCTTCTTCTAAGGGGAAAAGCCGGTTTGACCGGATATGGGATATTGTTTAACCATTGGGGTTGGAAAGATCTTTTCAGTTTCCATCATCAAAACTGTGAGCCATCTTTTTTGACTGGAAATCAAATGGGGGTGGGGTCTACCGCAGCAGTTCTTCATGATGAAAGAAGGCGATCAGCGTGGATCTTTTGATCATAAGCTAGATTTCACCGCAATTATGATGTTGATTTGAAGGGCCTATGACCAACAGATCGTTGGACCCACAGTTTGATATTTTCTGGTATTATTACAATTTAAAGTCCCACATTATTTTAAATTTGATTATCAGAGATCAGCGGATTATTGGAATTTTAATTTTCAAAAGGGCATTTTGAACATTTTAAGATATGTCTTCAGTTACAAACAGCCTTGAAAAAAAGCTGCTTGCCATCAATTCAAAACGTTTTAGATAGAAACAACAATATTAATATTAATGATACCAAACACAACCTTTAAGGTATGGTAAGGACATAAATGGAAAGATGAAAAGTCATGGGGTCAGATCATACCAACAACGAGAAACAGATCTGTGGATGTTTGACGCCAGTGCATTTTACATGCGTTTCATTTATGTTGCAAATAAATGGAATCGACAAGAAAATCCTATTCGGCAATCCTGTTTTTCAAAAAAAAGAAAAAATTATTATAATGATTAATTTTAGAATTCAGGAAAAGACGGATTTCTTGAAACATCAAATTGATGTTCCTTGAATCACCCTGATGACACAGTCTATTGAAATTTGAATGTCTTTATAAATATATTATAATATTAGATTAAATCACTTTAAACACCCAATGAACTTGTATCCCGATTTTTTTTTGTATTTTTCAAAAATTAAGTAAAAAGAAACACTTATAAATCAGAGTTTGATTATAAAACGGTACACTTGTAAAACACACCGGTGCCAAACACCCACAGAAATTTAAGGTAGTGTAGAGGAATCAAGTCAACCGAATTTCAAGTTGAATTCCTTACCCAATGTGTAGATAGGCAAGGAATCGTTTCTCAGCTCTTCTCAGTCTCATATTTTCCATCCCTTTACATCGTCTTAAATGACGAAAACATCCCTGAGTTAATATACCTTTAGGTTTTTTCTTAAAAAAAAAAAAAAGAAAGCTCAATTAACATGAGAAATATCTTATATTCCTTGCCCCCACAGATCCGTTAAAGAATCTCAACTTTCAAGAATAATACCTTACAGATATTTTAAAATCAAGAAGTTCCTCAACTGATAGTCTTTTGAGTTGCTGGCTTAAATTATAGAAAAAAAAAAGGAAGAAAAATAGTAATAATTAAAAAGGAAAGAAAAAATAAAATTAAAAAACTGAAGCCGAATGCATTCATCCATATTTAAGTATATAAATATTAAATAAATAATATAAGGTTTAACTATGATACCCGGAAAAAAAAAACTTGTAACCAATCGTTTGATTTTTTTATCAAATTCACAGGGACATTGATTGGTCAAAACCCTTCTGGTATCATGTTTTTATGGTTAGACTCAATCGACTTAATCTTAAGTTTAGAAAATGGGAACATTAAAAATAAATAAATAAAAGGAAGCGAACAAATCAGGCCAAAGGTAGGGGTTCAATCACTTGGATCGGATTAGGGTTGATCGCAACTTGATCTAACCCCACCCAACTTGCCTCCTAGTTAGATCCCTAGAGTATAAAGGGTATAAAAAGTTTAAAATAATGGATGGTCCTCACCACAAAAGGGAAGAAGGATGAAAGAAATGTTTTATGTGAAAGAGAAATTTTATTACCTAACAAAAGGTTCTCTTCTTGGAAAATCAATTGTTGAGGAAGCTACATAGAAATGGTTGTCTGCATGGCAAAATTACTTTTGGAATAGGAATTTTCTTTGAATTATCAAAAATGTCCTTGAAGTTAATTTTCCGTGAAAGATGAAATAAATCTGTCCAATTATCAAACTTCTTCAGTTGTAGCATGAACCAAAGAAGACTCTATGACTATGCTCTGCTTAAACTGAAATGTTGTATAAAAGGGGAAGACTTACGGTCATAACTAGTAGCTTCAATTGAAATGCATTAAGGTTATGTTTGATTTGAAGGAAAAGATAAGAAAAGGAAGAGAAATGTCAAGAAACCTTTATAAACCTTTACAAACGCAGCGTAGAGAGGCAATATCTTCCTTATCTAAGTCAGCATAACACCAACTAAAAACTATTCATTATTATTATTATTATTGTTTTTTGTACAAAGTTGATTACCTGTGGAATATAGTCACACTGTCAGTTTTAATCATTTAAAACGTACTTTTATTTATTTATTTCTTTCTTTGTTCTATTCTCCTCTTGTTTTTTAATTCTTTGAATTCTTTCTTCTCTCTTACCTTTCCTTGACTACTGCACAAAAGGTGGAGTTTCTCAATGTCTTCAACACTTCGCTGTCCCGTAGTGATTGAAATTTGAAAGGACAGAACCATTTGGACTAGTTCTCCCAATTCTTTAATCGATTCAATGGCAATAGACTTTAGTTATTAGAATGTCTTTTATAACTTCTGCAATTAAGGATGGTTTGTGATTTGTCTTTTTCTCAATTTCTCTTAATAACAACTCTAATAAAACATATAGGGGATTAACAAGATAAAGTAGTGAAAACAGAGGATTTCAACTTGGTGAGTTGAAAATTGCCAATTGTTAGTTTGGTAGAGTATGTGGGTGTTGCTTCTGTAGACCTGGCGTGATATCCATCTTGTATTCTTGTCTTTACCTCCATAATGGGTATTAGTTAAGTGGTTTGATGGTGCCACGTAGCAGTCAGTGTTTCCTCAAAAGGGCTTAATTTCTATTGCTCTTCATAGAAAAAGAAGAGAAGATTGAAACGAAGAGGAAAAAAAATAAGAAGAAATAAAAGAATGGGCACTAGTTAAATGTTTTGATGCTGCCACAAAGTTGTCAGTGTTTCCTCAAGAGGGCTTAATTTCTATTCCTCTTCAAAGAAAAAGAAGAGAGGGGAAAAAAATAAAGTATAGAAGAAATAACAGAATGGGTGCTAATTAAATATTTTGATGTTGCCACAAAGTGGTCAGTATTTCCTCATGAGGGCTTAATTTCTATTCCTATTCATAGAAAATGAAGAGAATTGAGAAACAGAATGGGTACTAGTTAAATGGTTTGATGTTGCCACAAAGCAGTCAGTGTTTCCTCAAGAGGGCTTAATTTCTATTCCTCTTCATAGAAAAAGAAGAGAGAAGAGAAACAAAGAGGAAAAAAATAAAAAACATAAAAGAAATAATAGAAGTACTCCATACAAAATACTTCTAAACATATCGGCACTGATTAAAAAAAGAAAAAAAAAAAAAACTGAAAAACTGAAAACAAGAGAAGAGAAGAGAGTTACTGAATATTAGTACAGTGTGGACTTGTAGTTTCTAGGGTTCCAACGGAATTATAAGGGTAATTTGTAAATTCAACCTCAGTGGTCAGTTTCTGTCGTTTCCCTGGGGCAAAACAACCAAAAAGTAAGGCTTTTAAAAGCAGCTTACTCACTTGAAATCTTTCATTACATTTTTGTTCTCTAAAACAACCTGTTCAAGTCTTCAAGTGACTCTTTAAAAGTCCCTTTCCAAGGGAGAGCTTCACTCCAATAATAGCTCTAACCTCTTTTCATAGAAAAACTAAGCCAGATATTACACACAGAAAGAGAGAAGGAGAACGAGGAGAGTAGAAATTTCTGCGTCTCCATGGCTGCTGAAATAGAGCTTCTTCTCCTGCTCTCTCCATCAATTTTAGCTCTTTTTCTCGTATGGCTCCTCATCAAAAGGAAGGAAAGAACACTAAAGCTTCCACCTGGAAACATGGGTTGGCCTTTTCTCGGTGAAACGATCAGTTATTTGAAGCCTTATTCAGCTACTTCCGTAGGAGAATTCATGGAGCAACACATATCGAGGTAATCTCTGCAACCCAGAATGAAAAATAAATAAATAAGCACAACCCAAGTTCTGGATTCATTTGAGGACTCATATTCCATGTAAATTTATAGGTATGGAAAGATCTACAAGTCCAACTTGTTTGGTGAGCCAACCATAGTTTCTGCAGATGCGGGACTAAATCGATTTATATTACAGAACGAGGGGCGCCTGTTTGAATGCAGTTATCCAAGGAGTATTGGTGGGATTCTTGGGAAATGGTCGATGTTGGTCTTGGTTGGAGACATGCACAGAGACATGAGGATGATCTCTCTCAACTTCATGAGCAATGTGAGGCTTCGAACTCATCTCCTGCCGGAAGTCGAGAGGCATACCTTGCTGGTTTTAAGGTCTTGGAAAGAAAATTCAACACTTTCAGCTCAAGATGAAGCAAAGAAGGCATGTTTAAATCTTAAAAAAATATACATAGAAACCATTAGTTTCAGTTTTTTCCACCTTTTGATTTTGATATGTTCCAAAGATGGACAAGAAAAGCTAATCCTTCAAGAAAAAATATTTTTACAGTTCACTTTCAATTTGATGGCGAAACATATCATGAGCATGGATCCCGGAAAGCTCGAGACCGAGCAGCTGAAGAAAGAGTACATTACGTTCATGAAAGGAGTGGTCTCGGCGCCGTTGAATTTGCCTGGAACAGCATATTGGAAGGCCTTACGGGTACAAATTAAAGCTTTATTTTCACATGAAATAAAGAAACGAACGAAACCCATCTGATTGCAGGTGTGCTCTCGACGAGTAATTGCTGATTTTTGTAGTCTAATGAATCTCTTTCTTTATTTCTTCTCTGGATTTTGTTTCAATAAAACAGTCGAGGTCGACGATCCTGAAAGTAATCGAGCGAAAAATGGAAGAGAGGATCCGGCACATGAGAGATGAATGCGAGAGAAGGGAAGAAGATGATCTCCTCGGGTGGGTATTGAAGCATTCAAACCTTTCGACGGAGCAAATTCTGGATTTGATACTGAGTTTGCTCTTTGCCGGCCATGAAACTTCGTCAGTAGCCATAGCTTTAGCCATTTACTTCTTGCAAGACTGTCCAAAAGCACTTCAGCAGTTGAGGGTAAGAGATCGAATAAATGATGCTTTGTCCTATACAGAATTTAAGAACTCACCAGAATAGATGTTATCCATTTATTGATTTATTTATTCATCTGTTTCCTTTTTTCGCTTTTCAGGAAGAGCATCTTAAAATTGCCCGAGCCAAGAAACAAGCTGGAGAGTCTCAGTTGAATTGGGATGACTACAAGAAAATGGAATTCACCCATTGCGTAAGTAAATTCTTACTCTCTTGCTGTATTTATGAGAGAGAGAATGATGTGAGAGAGAGAGAGAGAGAGAAGTTGCTAATTGATGTTATATATGTTCTTTTATGTAGGTCATTAGTGAGACACTTCGTCTCGGCAACGTCGTTAGATTTGTACACAGGAAGGCTATCAAAGACGTCCGGTATAAAGGTGAGACAAGGAAAGCAAGAAATTAATGATGTCTTCTTATCGCCGGTGAAATTGCCGGAATCTGACTCACCTTTTCATTTCTGTAAATTGTGCCTTGAAAGGTTATGATATCCCAAGTGGGTGGAAAGTTCTTCCGGTGTTTGCAGCGGTCCATTTGGATCCATCCACCTATGATCACCCTCAACATTTCAATCCCTGGAGATGGCAGCAGGTCAGCCCCCGTTTGAAAATTTGAGGCATAACGTTCACTTATTTATTGTGCTCCCTTTCTTAAGCCGGTTCAGAGCTTTGCTTGTCCATAGCTATTAAACAGGGCACCGGGCCCAGTAAACGGTTCAGTGGTTCACCTCAGAGCCAGCTCCTTTTTCTATCTCCAAACTGGCTTTGAGCCGCCAAACCATCGGATGAACCGTTGACTTGGGCAGACAGGGCCAAATCAGCTGCGATTGACCTTACTCAGATTGACCCATTGGTTGAACCGGTGAAATAAGATCATTTAGCTCGGTTTTAGAAAAATAGACTGTGTTTGGGATAGAGCGGTGCAGCAATTCTTCTTCTTGTTTGCCTTACAAATCTTCTTAAGCCACGCATAAGTAGAGGTGGGTCCCGCGCATCGCAGTGGGTGTGTGGTGTGAGATGGTTTATAGGACATACCAAGAGCAAAAACGATTTTGTAGAAAATCAGATGTTCCCATATCAGTTATGTGGTGTTGCTTATCTGCTGTACAGAATGGATGGAACGTGTGGCCCATTAACCAACGTATCTGGACCGTTCAGTGCATGGACCACATTTAGGATAGGGAGATCTTCTAGAAAAGTAGAAATCAAGCCAAATAATAGACGTTTGGCATGGGGGTCGGGTCGGGGATGAAGTCAGCCATTCAAAAACTGTGGTCCACCACAGCAGAACTGGATCTCATTACTCGCTTTTGTGTTACATGTGCTGTAAGGATGTAGGGCCCATTGGGAAGTGATTAACTTGTATCACACAACTCCTCTTTTTTTTCTTTTTCTTTTTCTTTTTCTTTTTTCTTTTTAATTAATAATTAATTTTCCGACTGCCCCTATACTGTGGGGCCATGGAGATTTTGAGATGATTAGAGCTCATGTGGGGCTGTCACATGCACGTGCATGCGTGCAATACATACCTAGAAATTAAATACTATAGACCCGATTTTCCCAAGAAAACGAGGGAAAGTTGAGAGAAAAGAAAGCAAAAAGGAAACGACAAATCTATGTAAGGTGAGCATGTGAGGCCCACCATCTAAAGTGGAAATCACCATCCGTTTTCTCTTTTATAACTTTCCCTTTCTCCTCTCTATCTCACTCGGTTAGTGGGCCTTTGGGCTTATTAAAATCTTAAATAACCAGTGCTTACTGGTATGTACTATGTAGCATCTCTTGGTGACCATTCTTAGCCCGACCAACCGGCCTACCCACTGGGGCCCAATTACAACGTTTCGAATTCGAACTGGTTTAGGCCTGAAATGGACATTACTCAAGCTGAGGCCAAGCGAACCCCAAATCCCCAATAGCTAGATTATATTCGATTTCATTGCTTACTTATCTTTCCTTGTTGGTGCAGAACATTAGTAGCAGTAGTAGTAGCAGCAACAGCAGCAATAGTAGCAGCGTGGGTGCTAATTCGAATGCGACGATGAGCATCAACTTTATGCCATTTGGGGGTGGACCACGACTGTGCGCCGGGTCCGAACTTGCCAAGCTGGAGATGGCCGTGTTCATGCATCACCTGGTCCTGAATTACCAGTGGGAGTTAGCCGAATCAGATCATGCACTGGCCTACCCATTCGTCGACTTCCCCAAAGGCCTACCCATCAAGGTCCACAAAATCCAGCACCACCACACCACAACCTCATATGACAGCAACATTCATTTAACTCTCAACTCTCTCAGCCTCCCATGTTGAATTTGGATACCAAAGACAAACCGAGACGGAATCCTATTCATTTCATTTGTGTAAAGATATATAAAGAAATGAAAGCCCAAGCCCAAGCTCATGAAACTACATCTGTGTTCTTCGAGTTTTCCAAAGGCTGGTGGAATTTCAAATTTGTTGACCTTTTACCCTCACATGGACAGTGAGTGCAGACATAAAGAGGCCAAGTACAAACTGCAAATACGTTAGGACCACGTATGTTCGTCTCTCCTTGTAATCATATCCGTTTTCTTTCAAGCTTTCCTCCATAATGGGCCTGGGCCTAATTATCCGTTTTGTGTTGACAGGAACTAGTGTTTTGTTTGTATTCATGTGATTTTCCGTTTTTGCCCATCAGTTATATGTAACTTTCCGATTTTAGTATATGTGTAAGAACAGGGTGTTTCCTCTATGGCTCTATCTGACTATCCAACTGGTTAATTACCAACGTCGAGAAAATTGGAAATTAAAGCTTGTTTTGTCTTTTGGGAGTTCCGTCTGTTTGGCTTTTGTATGCCGTAAGCTTGTCGTCTTTTATGGGCTCAGTTAGGATGTGGGCTGCAACTCTGGCTATGACCCAGTTGTTGCTACTGGCTAGGCTACGATTGGCCAATAAGATTTATTTAGCCATTTTGCCAAACTTCAAATTTATAGAGTGTGGGAGAATCGGTGACGTGGCCTAAATTGTTTGGGTAGTTCATGGTTGTAACATTTGAAGAATTGGCTACTTCCAACGAAACAAAACATCAAATATTTTTAGAACAAGGAATGGTTCGAATCAATCCATTCCATAGCCCGCCCAATAAAGCATTAGAGCCCGTTTGGGAGGGCTGGAGCGCAGTGGCTTCTGGTTTTCCAAAGGTGGACTCTTAACGGCCAAACAGACAGCCCATAAGGTATTTTTGGTGAAAAATTCAGAGTCCAGACTCCAGATGGACAGTCGGTCAATAATTTGAAGGGCTGTCCCCGTCAGCCTCTTTCAAAGTAAATCCTTAACTCAGCCCTCCCAAACGACACCCAAGTGGAAGTCCAAATCTATTCAATCAGACCGTGGAACTGGATTAGGGCGAAACAATTTTGGAGTGCAACATGAGTATGGAGTATGGACACGTATAACTGCCTGTCCTACTTCTCCGTTGTTTTTTTCTTTTCTTTTTCCAGCAAATATTTGTCTCACTTAAATGTGAGAGACACTGAGAGTGAGAGCCCCTTCTTATCCATTCTGATTGATTGGACCATTGGAGTGGCGTCAGAGGGAGGGAGAGTCGTTCCCATTCAAAGTTTGGTTTAGTGGGATTCTCTAATCAACCTTCAAACGCGGAAACTCATGTGAGAGGTCACTCTCGTTAAACCTAGTCCCAGTCAGGATCTCTTACGGTTCGACAAATCAAAGCCTAAGTAGAGGAGATCCGGACTGCACTGAACTGATGCTTTTCATCTTAAATTCAATGCATTTATTAAAGAGATTGACAGAACGCTAGGGTGCTCGAGGTAGTAGACCTGGGGCTGGGAGGGTCAATATCGCTTACCGATCCAACATGTGTGTCTGGGGTCGCCTCCTTTGTCAGGTTTCATTTCGCTGTCCGGACTCTGGCCGAACTTTGATTTAATAGATACGATACTTACTTTTCAATGGCGAAGGCTGAAAGTGTCGATTCGTGTAATGTTTTGGCGGGGAGATGACGAGGGACGGCCGTATCTGACCCTGTGGCCTCAGAATGTGCACGTACATTGGGGAATAGGGGTGGGGGAGCACAGGATACGTACTTGAAGGGCCCTTGGCCAATGGAGTCTTCCGATAAGAAGGGCCCTGACCCCTGATTAATGGCTGAATCCTTTCGACTTGGTAATAGCTTATTCTGATGCGGTCCCCGACCGAGACATTTGCGATTTTGTGTGGTGGAAGAGTTCGGCTTCTGTCAGGGCAAGTCGATACCGGCACCGTTCCAGCACCCCCTCCCAACCTTATATTGGGAATATCTCCCATAAAATAAATCGCATACATTTTGGAAGGAGTATAAATACAAATTTATAGAGTATAAAACCTTGTATTTTATATTATTTTGTATGTATTTATATTATTTGTACTTTCTCGATTTGGAAGGAGTACAAATATAAATATGTACAATACAAATGCATACAAAATAATACAAAATACATAGTTTTGCATTCTACATATTTGCATTTATACTCCTTCCAAATTGAGCCACAAGTTCTGAGAATTAGATGTGTAAATCGGGTTGTATCGGGTCGTGTTGGCCCACGGGGTGAATCGGGTCGTGTTTCCTTCCCCTACAATACTTTGAGGGGTTGACCCGAGCTCGTGGGGGCCCGTGCCGAGCCGGTCCATGCCATGGCTTGGGTTGGGCGGGCTGCAGGTTGTGTAATGGACCTGACTCGTGTTAGGCTAGGCTACGGGTCAGGCCTTCGACCTAGGCCAAACCAAGTCAAACTGATTTTTTTTTTTTTTGCTAAAATACTTCATTTTCCTTAATTCAATAATTCTTTTGAGCTTTGGGAACAAATTGGAAAAATTTAAAAAAAAATACTTAACAAAATACAAAATTGACAACAAATTGGAAAAAATAGGAATTTTATTTCTTGAATTTGAATAATACAATGGACAAAGGACAATGATTGAGTGAAATATAGAAAATGGAATAAAATATAAAAAATATAATGCAATTATAAATTGAAAATAAAAATTACATTTTTGAAAAAAATAAGAACTAATATAAATAAAATTGAAAAAATACAATAATTTTAAAAATTGAAAAAAGTTACAATAATTAAAATAATGAAATATTGACTATACAAAAGAATAAAAATATTGACCTCATCGTTTTTCTTCAATTTCCACATCCACATGCATCTTCATCTAATCACCTCCTTGATTGCCATCGTCTGCTTCAGGTGAAACATCATGTGTAATGCCATGCCCTCCTCTGTCTTGTAATCAATCTTCAGCATCCAACCAATCTTTAAGGCACATGGACATCTCCATACTTTCATCGTTCATACAATTTCTCTCGTCGTCTAGCACTCTAGTACCTGTACTAAAGCAAGACTCCGATGAAACTATAGACACTAGAGGGGTTAGTAGATCATGTGCTATGGCGGCAGGAACCAATTAAAGTAGAAACACTTGCTTGTAAATAAAAAATCAAGTTCAGTAAATGAATTTGATGATGAATTGGTAGTAGATTTTTGTCTCTTATGTAGTAGAGACCGAATTTTGTCTCCACCTACTGGGAATATAATTAGTTGTTTCAGAATTGGACTTGCACCTATACAAGATTTCTTATGTCCACTCACTTGAGATTCATATAAACTATACATTTCAAATAATAAATTATTAATTTCTTCGTTTTGTTTCCAACTTCAATGTTCATAATTTCATAATATGATTCAATTTAAATTTCTAAACCATCTTTCCTAATCCTAGGATCTAATATTACAACTAAGTAATAAAGGGTAGAAATTTTCTCCCAATATTTTTTAAATTTATTTTCCATTATTTCAATAATACTTTGAAATTGTGGATTTTTCCTATATTTTGCAAAACATACACTAATTATAAAAAATTGATTAACTAAAAGACAACTAGTTGAGTAATAAACACCCGAAAATTCATTACTTACATCATAAAAAATTTGAAAAAAAAAGTATACAAATTGTCATTTCCCAATCTTCCTCAAGTATAGGATCGTGTGGCATTTTTTGCATTATAAAAATCACTAAGAATTTGTTTGTATGCAATACAACTTTCTAATATTGAATAGGTAGAATTTCGTCTATGTTTAACATCTAATACAAAATGTTTATATTTTAAACCATAGTTTTGACATAAATATTTAAGTTCTTGTTTTCTTCCTCCAAAACTTTTAATATATATTATACAATTTCTAATTTTAGAAATATGATGATAAATAATATTTAAAGTATCTTGAATACATAAATTTAAAATGTGACATGCACATCTAATATGAACTAATTTACCATCTAAAAATGGTTTTAATTAGAATTTTAAAATATATATTACAGAATCTTTATTACTAGCATTATCAAAACTAATAGAAAAAAGTTTATTTTCAAATTCATAAATACATAAAGTATTTAAAATACTTGAAGCAATAATTGGGCCAGTATGTAGCCATTCAAGCCTAGTAAAACTTAAAATTATTTTATGTAAAAATCATTTTTCATCAATAAAATGACTAGTAACACAAATATAACTTATTTTAAATCTAAATGTCCAAATATCATAATTAATTGAAATTTTAAATTAAGATTTGATAACATAGAAATTAAGTTTTGTTTATATGAATAAATTTTTTTAAAGCATATGTTCTAATAGTTTTTTTGGAAACTTTTTTAAATTGTGGATTTACAAATCCACATAAAATTTTTCAAGTTTAGTATCTTCAGCTAATAAAAATTGATGTTCAGCATGCATAATATATTTTGCTAATTTTTGCCTCATTTTGTCTTGAGAATATTTAAAAGTATCAAAAATCTCACTTCCTATTTGTGCTTGTGATTTTTTTCCCTTCTCTTCTTTCATCAAATGGCGATTCAAATGTCTGCCCAAGAGGCCAGTACCACTACTATTATAGCTAAAGTCACTCTTACATTTTTTACAAACAAATCTCTTTCCCTTCCCCTCAACCTCCTATATTTTAAATATTGTCCAAACCGGGCTAATCAACCTAGTGTTCTCCTTTTTCTTCCCCTACCTCTAGTAGCAATATTAGGGGTGGGAACGTCAGTAATATTAGCAACAACATCCATATTGGCGCTAACACTATCATATTGCAATTGAACATCAACATTAACTGCGTTGGGGAATTGGTGTCGAGAGCGAGAGGAGGAGCCGACCATTTTTTAAAGGGATAAGTGGACTGCAATCCACCTTAGCAATCTGAATTGCAGCCCCCTCCTAGTCTACTAGTACCCCCTCCCCCCAATAAACCGCATCATGCCCGTGAATTTGGCAGCAATCCACGGGCACGATTCAGTCCACCCCTATACATCCGAGCTCCACCCTAGGGGTGGACTGAACTATAAAAACCCCTTTTTTAATTATAAAAAGCTAAAAATTAATTTAATTGCTCTTACATGGATTGTCGGTTTGGAATTTCAACTTGATTTCAACGGTTGAAGCCTCGAAGTCTCCCAAATTGAAGACTTGAGATATTTGAACAAGCCTTCTTCTTGTTGAAACTTGAATCAAGTTGAAAATTTGAGAGTAGAGAGAATATGAGAGTATATGTGAAAGTATGATGTATGAGACTAAGAAACTAAGAGAGTATGATAATTGGTGTAATGAGAATGGTAATAAGGTTATTTATAAGAATTGAAAATAATTTAATTCCCAAAAATACCCTAAAAGCTAGTTGTTTTTAGTTGTTGATAGGGGTATTTTGGT